TGGAGTTTCAGGAAAGGCTCCTTGAGCCTGTTTTAGCTCTACCTAGTAAGCAACCGGGAGTGCTATTCACCCTTTCTCTAGTAAGTTTCCTAGCAATGAAACAAATTTGAATGAAGGGAAAACACTGATATTACTCATTTTGAAAAGTCCACCAGTCAAAGGTAAATTTTTTAAAGATTTATTTTTGCATATAAGAACTGAGGTGCAGGCCAGAGGTGTGAGGGTGAGTGGATTCACCAGAGACAAAGTGGGGAGCAGAACATGCGGATCTCCTGAGATGCACTGCTGAGGGGAGCAGCAGGCAAGACAGGAGAGGTCTGCTGTGCCATGTGGGTCAGTTCCCTGGCCAGGATCAAACGCAGGCTGCAGCGGCTATGGAAGCTTGATAGCGCTGAGACTTAATCCCTGCACCACCAGGGAGGCCCAAAGGTAATTTTTTTTTTTGACTAGGATGATTGTTGACTTTGCTGGTGCTCCTTTCTTCCCTGGGGGGAAGAAAGAAGGAAAGGGAGTTGAATGCTATTGGAGGTATTCACATCGCAGACTGGGAAGGGAAGCAATACTCAGCAACAGAGGCCAAACTCAAGCTTCAAGGCATATAGTAGATCTTTCTGGTCTGGGTCAAGTCTCAGTTCGAGAACTGTATCAAAAAACTCATTTTCTGGGCCTCCCCTGGTGGTGCAGCAGTTGAGCACTGGGCTGCGAGGATGCCCGCAGCCTCTGCAGCGCAGGTTTGTTCCCCAGCCGCCTGTTCCCCAGTCGCCAGTGAGGGTCCCACAAAAAACAAACAAACAAACAAACAAACAAACAAACAAATCCCTCATTTTCTTAGGACAGAGATGAATTCACAGCTCTCAGCATGTGAATTGTCTGGGATGTCTCCTAGCCAATGAGCTTTGTTCTGGCCCTTCAGCATAACATCTCTACCCTCTTTTCATCTTGTCCTTGACTCTTCATCTGGTTCCTTTGAATTTCCATGATGCAATCTTGCACATATTCTTCTTTGGAATGGTAAATATTCATCCATTTCCCAGTTTAGTGTGCAAATTAATGAGGAATATTGGAGAAACTAAGGCGTGGAACTTGGAACTAAGCTCATAAAATTCTTCTGATTAGGGCCTCCCTGGTGGTCCAGGGGTTAAAGTCTCAGTTCTATCAAGCTATCAGCAGCCACTGCAGCATGAGTTCAATCCCCAGTCAGGGAGCTAACCCATATGGTGAGGCAGACCTCTCCTGACTCGCCCACTACTCCCCTCAGCAGTGTATTTCAGTAGATCTGCCTGTTCTGCTCCCCACTCTGTCTCTGGTGAATCCTCTCACCTCCCTGTACCTCTGGCCTACACCCCACTTCTTGTATGCATAAATAAAAATAAATCTTAAAAAAAGAAAAAAATTTTTCTCATCAGCTTGACAGAAGGGGTCAATTGCCTTCAAACTCAAGAGAAGCGGTCAATAAGAATGAGGGTTTCCTCTTTCTCCTGGGATTGGTCTCCACAGTAGCAAACTCTACAGAAAGATTTGTAAAAGATGGACTCATGGTAGGAAGGGATAGGTAAAAAAATCTCTTCAGTTGAGAGCAGAGAAGGCAGCATTAATGAGAGGGGGGCCATGAGGAGGGTGAGAATTATCATGTGGCTGGGTGAGTTATGGATGTGCTGAGAGTGAGCTCAGAGTTTCCACGGTGAATATATATTCCTCTAGGGAAACTTCCAGGGGAGCAACATGTTCAAAGGAAAGAAAAAAAAAAAAATCAGTGATTCTGAAATTACAAAGGGTAAGTTCCATTTAAGATACTAGTCACTTATTTGATCTTGAGCAAGTTGTTTAAAGTTTCTGAGCCCATTAATTATCTATAAAATGGAATCTGTGAAACCTACAACTTCAGGTATGAATGATTTACATGAATTGAAAGAGATAAAACAAATGAATGTTTGCCAAGCATTTGGCATGACACAGGCGCCTGGGGATAGCTTCAGCACTGTTCTTTCTCTCTTAGGAAATCTCTCAGAGGTACTCAGTTCTCTCAGTTCTCAGTTTAAGACACTGAATTAGAGAGGGTCCAAAGATCCTCACTGATTTATCTTCAGAATTTCCACTACCGCGATCTCTTCACGAAATACATTTGAACAGCAGAGAAGCTTCTGAAGTATGAGGAGAGTGAAGATCTGCATGGGCATAAGGGAACACAGAAGATCAGTTTGGAGGAGAAGATTGTGGGTACAATGGAACATATGTGTCTGCAGTTTGCTTAGTGTCCAGCTTTGTTTTTATATTTTCTTCGGAGTCTTGTCTGCCCAGGGTTAACGTGTCTGGTTGTTCAGATAAGGTTCTGAGAAGTCCACTTAGGGCCTTCCCCTGGGGTGCTGCCCTTATCACTGTGTCTGTAAATCCATTTGGGTGTTATCTGATTTGCTTTCCAAAGTGGGCTTGTGCTTTGACATTGGTAACGCCATTTTATATTTCACCATAGTTACTTATTTATAGCTTATTAAATAGTATGAGCATTTTATTATTCAAATAGTTTACACTACTCTGGTGGGTGCCCATGAAAGAGACTTTATTTACAGAGATTATTTGGTCACTTCTCACACACCAAAGCCAAGCTACACATGACTTGTTACTGTCTGCTTCTGAAAAGAGGAACATACACACATCTGTGCTTTGGAACTTCACAGAAGCATTGCCCTGGGGCTATTAATAGAGAATTGTCCTTCAGAGTCACCTTTCGCTAAGAACAACACTGGAATTTCTGGGGAACATTCCTTCCAAGTGCTCCCTTCATTCTCGAACATTGCTGAGTGTTAAATGGATACTGTGCCACATACTGAAGATGCAAAATTCCCACTTTTGAAGCTCTCAGTGAAGTTGGGGAGACAGGACTTAACACTGGAAGGCTGTACAGGTCAGTGGGTGCAGCAGACTATCCGTAATATCACGCAGGCCCAGGAGATGTTTGTTCAGGATGGGCCTCATCCAAGAAAGCTTCCTAGAACTGAAGTGGACCTTGAAAAAAGGGTCAAATTTGACCAACTGGAAGAGGAAACGTGTGGGAGGGCAGTGAATAAACTCATGCTAGCTGTAGCAGTTTCATTCAGTCAAAGTCGGAAAAAAACGTTTGGAAGGCCTTGGAGCTCCAGATTCAGTTTGCATTTGAACAGTGAGCATTGGGAAGCTATTAAATGTTTTTGACCTGTTGTGTGGATGTGTAAAATCATTTTATAAAGACAATGTGATGGCAATGGAGAGCATGACAGGGCTGTGGTGGGGGAGCCCAGAGCCTGAGGGGCTAGTTAGGAAAGTCACAATAGTCCAGGAGAGACCCTTGAGCATTTAGCTAAAGTGGTAGCAGAGAGAAGGGGAAAGATAGCACTGAGTTCTGCCAACCTCTCTTTTGAACAGTATTTGCATATTATTCATTTGATTTAAAATGTCCAAAATGCTTTTTTCATTGTCCTTCACTTTTTTCTTTTTTTTTTTTAAGATTTATTTATGCACAGAATAATTGGGGTGCAAGCCAAAGGGGTGTGTGTGTGTGTGAGAGAGAGAGAGAGAGAGAGAGAGAGAGAGAGAGAGAGAGAAAGAGAGAGAGAGGATTCTCCAGAAACACAGTGGGGAACAGAACAGGCAGATTGAAATACACTGCTGAGGGGAGCAGCCGGCAAGTCAGGAGAGGTCTGCTGAGCCATGTGGGCTGCTCCCTGACTGGGGATAGAACTAGTGCTGCAGTGGCTGCTGGTAGCTTGATAGTGCTGTGTCTTAACCCCTTGAGCCACCAGGGAGACCCCCCCCTCTTCACTTTTTTCATAATCTTCTGGCCAGTACCCCCCAGGAGTGGAAAAGAAAACTGCAGTATAACCCACTGGATTACTCAGGTAATTCACTCTGCTCCTGTGCTCCTCAATTATCTCATTTAAATTAGAGAACAAAGTTATCTAATTTAAAAATAATAAAGGCAGATAATTACCTGCCTGGAAGCAGAGAATGGGAATTCAGTTTATCTCCTTCTTTTCAACTCCAGGAAAGACTTTCTTTCCCTTAAAAAAAAAAGTTTAATTCTTCTTCGGAACCCTCCAACATCTACACTTCCCAACAGCTATTCTATCCTTGTCTGGGAAAAACAACTTGGGGTTCCCCGTGGAGGATCCCTAACTTCCCCAGTGTCTCCTGGAGTTGAGGTGGAGGACAGGAAGGGTCTTCGAATCCGAACTAGAAGAGGAAAAATTGGGGCCTCCTAATGTTAGGTCTACTCCTGTTACTTAAAGTAGGGAGTAGGCCCTGAAGCCAAGGTCTCTGCATCACCCCAATGCGACTCCATCCCCCCAGCGCCCCGCCGGTGGGTCCTCCCTCCCCCCCACGCCCCCACTCGCACCCTGTGCCAGTCTGCCAGCTTTTATCTCAATGGTGCTTGGGAGCCGCAGTGTCAGGTACCTGACCAGCCCCAAGGGGAGGAGAAGGACTCTCGGCTCCTGCGAGCGCGCATAAGGGGCGGAGCCCACCTGTGCCCCGGGGCGGGGCCTCGCCGGGGGCGGGACAGGTGGGGCTGCGCTGCCGCCCGGAGCCGGGAGTCGGAGCCGCAGCCCCAGCGGGCGAGAGGCGCGGAGGGCGGGCGCGCACCTAGGGACACCTCCTCGCGGGCTGTGGCCGCGAGCACGGCGGAGGGAGGGAGGGAGCGAGGGAAGGAAGCTTGCAATCCTGCGGCGCGGAGAGGCGTGGAGAGGAGAGCCGGGCGCGGAGGACCCTCGCGGAAGGCGGAGCCGGGCTCTGCTCCTGGACAGGGACCTGAGAGTTGACGCGAGGAGCCCGTGCCGTGTGGGGGGCCCCTTGCGCGGAGCATGAGCCGGCGCCCCGCTGGAGAACGGCTGGGGGAGACGGTCTCGGCGCAGCCCTGAAAGCTGGGCTGGGTCTGGGACTCCGTGCGCCCGGGACGCTGGGCCCGCCGGGGGGGCCGGGACTGGGTGGGGAGCAGCCCGCGCTGGCGGCGGCCGCCCGGGCGCACCGCCATGGGGAGCCCCCGGGCCGCGCTGCTCCGGCTGCTCCTGCGCCCGGTCAAGCTGCTGCGGAGGCGCTTCCGGCTGCTGCTCTTTGTCGCCCTGGTGTTCTTGGGGATCGGGACCCTTTATCTGGAGCTGGTGGCTTCGGCACAGGTCGGCGGGAGCCCTCTGAACCGGAGTAAGTCGGGCGGGGGTGGGCGGGGGCGGGCGTGGGAGGAGGCTGCACGGCGGCGCCTGCTTTGGGGGACCCGCCTCTCATCCCCGGACCCGATTTCAACTCGCTTTCCTCTCCAGGTGCCCGGAGCCGCCCCACTGCTTACTCGGGGAGAGAGGCGGGGTGCGGGGAGTTACTGGGGGCAAGTGCCGAGTTCCAGTGTCGGGCCTGCCGGCCGGGTTCTGTGCGTCCTGGGCATCCTCGCGGATGCGCGCTCCCTCCCTGCGAGGGCGGCGGGCCGGGAGGCGCTGCGCCCTCGCCACCGGGCGCCTCCAACCGCGCCAGCCTCGCAGTTCCCCAGCGCTGGCTCGCGCTGGCTCGGGGTGTGCGTCCGAGAGGCCCCCCGCGGTCTCCACCGAGGCCGCGCGCTCCAGCTGCGCCCCTCAAACTTTGCCTGCGCCAGGCTCGCCGCGTTTCCTCGGGATTCTTAATTTTCACAATACCTCCGAAAGCCACCTCTCCTGCCCTCCTCCAACTTCCCTTACGCCACTCCCCTCCCAGCCCCTCCACTTCCTCCAAGTCTCCCACCTCCTCGCGGGGCCGTCCCGCTCTGTCTTGACCACCTCTCTGGCAAAGTTGCCTGAAGCCCTCCCTGGAGACCTTGCAGAGTCTGTTATAGGGCAGCCCCGATATTGAACGGGTTCCTGGCTGTGCGTCCTCACCCGCGCGCTTACAAGGGACTTACGAATACTCCACTACAGACACACACAAAAGGTTAATAAAAGGTTTATTTACAAGGGAAAAGGAAATAAGGAAAATGTACAACTCAGGGGAAAAATAGGGAAATAAAGTCTTTAATGCGTCCTACCCGATCCGCCGACCTGGAAACCCAAAGGCACTCTCAGAGCTGGCTGGACGCTGCGAGCTGGCGGAGAGCCAAAATGGGGGACCCCCCCCCAAACCCACGTGTCTGGCTTTATACCAACCTGGCTGCTGAGCCCCACCCTCAGGTCCCAGCCACCTTCCCTTTGGTGGTGATGGGATTTGGAGTTCCCAGTGGCTTTGGCTTTGGCCTGGGGTGGGGGTGGAGTCTACAAAGCCTGTATGGAATTAGCTTTAGGACATCCTTTTCCCCCTAACAATTCGACTGAACTTCCCAGACCCTGCTGAAGGAGACAGTGGACCAGGCAATTTGTAGATCCTACTGCTATTTTATTTATTTATGCATACAAGACCAGGCGTACAGGCCAGAGATGTGGGGGTGAGAGGATTCACCAGAGACAGAGCGGGGAACAGAACAGGCAGATTGACCAAAGTACACTGCTGAGGGGAGCAGCGGGCGGGCCAGGCAGGAGAGGTCTGCTGCACCCTGTGGGTTGTTCCCTGTCAGGCGGGGATCAAACTCACGCTGCAGAGGCTGCGGACAGCTTCATTGTCTGCTCTGCGTCTTAACCCCTTGCGCCACCAAGGAGGCCCCCCCCACTGCTATTTTTTAACTTAGCCAAAGTCACTTCACTTTTCTGTGCCTCACTTTCCTCGTAGGAAAATGGGAGGGAATGGTCTCTCTCTTCTTACTCTAATAGGCATGGCTTTCGGAGGTGATACTCGCTTTGGCTAACCAAATCGTTCGCTGAAAGTGTCAGGGACTGTAAAAGGACAGTGTAATAGCTGGAAAAAGGAGGAAAGAAATTCTCAGAACTGCAGGTGCCCTTCCCAACCTGATGGGTGGGGCTTCATTGTTCTAGCACATTGTCTCTCAAGACTTCCAGTTTCCCTTTCAGAAAAGGCAGAAGGGGGGCCTCCCCAGTGGCGCAGCGGTTGAGCGCTGGGTTGCGAAGCTGCCCGCAGCCTCTGCAGCGACAGTTCGATCCCCGGCTGCCAGGTGAGGGTCCCACATGGCGCGCAGACCTCTCCTGCCGCCCGCTGCTCCGCTCAGCAGTGTACTTTGGTCCTTCTGCCTGTTCTGTTCCCCGTTCTGGCTCTGGTGAATTCTTTCACCCTCCCACGCTTCTGACTGTACCCAGTGCTTGTATAAATAAATAAAGACAATCATTAAAAAAAAAAAAAAAAAAAAGAAAAGGCAGAAGGAATGGCTGATGAAATTGCTGATTTGAAGACGCTGTGACGTGTCTTCTGTCAACTGCTGTACCCAGAGTTGGGCGTGGTGCTTTGCCTCCTCCTGTGGCCAAAGAGAGGGAATTACTAGGGTCAGTAATTAAGCTGGTTCAGGGTAGAGATGTATATTTATGTCTGAGCCTGTCACTCTTGAAATAATTCTGGCTGTGAGCTGGGAGACTGGGGTTCCAGTCCTAGTTCTGCCACTGACTAGTCAGGGAATCAAATGGAAAATGGCAGCTTCTCAGGTAGAATTAGAAGGTTGGACTAAAACATCTCCAAGGTCCCTTTCAGTCTGGATATTAAGATTATGTGATTGCCTGTTGGTTTTAGTTTTGTGGAATCATTTTTCCCTTTTTATTTCTAATTCTATTCTGAATTCTGTCATCTTATAAGTTTTTCTGTTTCTGCTGGAGCGTGTCCAGGGCCACAGAGCCCAGCACATCCCAAGGAAAGCTCAGCTCAGGCTTTGCTCCACAACTCTAAGTAGGGGAATTCTCTCTTCTGATGATGAAAATCCACCTTCCTATAGCTAAGACTTGCCTCCTCTGAGCTTTGTTCTTCCCTCAGAAAGACAAAATGAATTTTCCATGCATGGCCTCTCATAGGTAGTTCCAATTAAGTGAGATTGGTTGTAGTACATACAGGTGGGGGGTCCTGGACGGGACACCCCTTCTCGGAGTCATTACCATTAATGTGGTAGCACTGGTATCCTCTGTGCAAATGAGTAACAGAAGAGAGCAGTCACTTTGTTACCCTGAAATCAGTGACCACTGATTTTCTTCACACCCCAGCACTGTACCTCAAGTGTGATTTCTCTAAGAGACAGCAACCAGTTTGCCATAATCATTATCTCATCCCCTAGTTCCCCACCCCTCTTTCCTGTTGACCGTCTCATCCTTAGCCATCAGGTCTGGGGCTGTTTGGTTTCCCTCCTGGATGAATCTTAACTCTCTGACTGGGTTTCCTTATTCTTTATTTCCTTTTCCAAACTGACCCTTCTCCAGAAAAATGTTCCCAGTTTCCTATTCCAGAATTGGCTTTCTGTTTCTCTAACCTTCATTTTTAACAAGAGTTCAAGTCTTTAACAAGCGTCCTGGGCACTGATGGATGGTCTGTGTCCTCTTCTCCGGCTCTTAGAACCACATAACCCCTGTGCCCTGAAGGTGACTTTCCACACTGGAATGTCCCGCCATATCCTACTCTTAATTCCCTTTGGGAATGAAATTGAGAAAGAGACTTTTTTCTGGCTGCTGGTCTGCCATCTTCTTTGTTTTTGAGAAACCCAGACATCTTGTATCAAAGTTCTCTCTTTTTGTCTTGCAGGTCTTACTCCCAGTCAGGGCTTATTACCTGGGAGGGAGAGCAGGGAAGGAGGAATTAGGAAATAAAGGTAGGAAGGGGGTTGCTAGCATTTCTGTCTCTATACCCTGGCACACCAACAGGGGAGTAAAACTTCCCCTCCCAGCACTGTACCCGTGGCCTTGACCACAGCAGCCAGAGCCTCATTTTGGCTCTGCTTCCTTACAACCTACCCTGCCCCCTCTCCCTCTAGCCATCTCTGCCAATTCAGCTTTCCTGTCATCTGTAAGGCCAGCCTCCATTCCCAAGAATCTTTTTTTTAATTAATATTTTATTTTATATAATTCTTACATCATTTTTCATTTTTGCACAATGTATGCATAATCATTTTGGTTATATTCCCCATACAATTGCACCCCCACTTATTTTGACCCTAGTCCTTCCTCTCCCCTTCCCTCCTCCCCCCCGGGGGGCTCCCCGTCACCTCCCCCTCCACCCCCCGTGGTGTGTCTCTGGTTTATAGTTGCTTGTTGATTTTGATTTTTATTTGTATTAATTAGCCTTTTTCCTGGTCCCTTATTTAGGTTTTCTCAGTTCCTGCTATGAGTGAGACCATCCGGTATTTTTCTTTTTCTTTCTGGCTTATTTCAATGAGCATGATCCCTTCCAGCGCCATCCATGTAGCTGCAAACTGCATGTGTTTATCTTTTTTGATTGCTGAGTAATATTCCATGGTGTGTATGTACCACATCTTCTTGATCCAGTCATCTATTTTGGGGCATTTGGGTTGTTTCCAAAGCTTAGCTATTGTGAACAGTGCTGCTATAAACATAGGGGTGCAGGTGCCCTTTGGAATTGATGTTTCTGTGTCCTTTGGGTAAATACCTAGGAGTGGAATTGCTGGATCATATGGAAGCTCTTTCTTTAGTAGGTCAAGAAATCTCCACACAGCTCTCCATAGTGGTTGGACCAGTTTGCACTCCCACCAGCAGTGCAGGAGAGTTCCTTTTTCTCCACAACCTCGTCAACATTTGTTGTTGCTAGTTTTTTTAATATGTGCCATTCTCACTGGTGTAAGATGGTATCTCATAGTAGTTTTGATTTGCATTTCCCTGATTACAAGTGATGTTGAACATTTTTTCATATGCCTGTTGGCCGTTTGCATTTCCTCTTTGGAGAAGTTTCTTTTTTTTTTTTTTTTTTTTTTTTTTTTTTAACGTTATGTATCTTTTTTTATTTATTTATTTATTTATTTATTTATTTATTTATTTTTAATTTTATTTTTATATTCCCCCATACAATTGCAAACGCCCCATTCTGACCCCAATCCTTCCCCTCCCGCCCCCCACCCCCCAAAAAGTGTCTCTGGTTCATAGTTTTTTGTTGATTTTGATTTTCACTTTCTTATATTCATTTTCCTGGTCCCTTATTTAAGTTTTCTAGATTCCTGCTATGAGTGAGACCATCCGGTATTTTTCTTTTTCTTTTTGGCTTATTTTGCTGAGCATGATCCCTTCCAGTGCCATCCATGTTGCTGCAAATTGCATGTGTTTATCTTTTTTGAATGCTGAGTAATATTCCATGGTGCATATGTACCACATCTTCTT